CGGATTTTGTTTACAATACACAGAATGCACAGTTTGGCCTCAAATGCTCAAAAATTGAATTTTTTAAGACCAATTTTTAGCTATTCTAAACAAATTAAAACGGGGCCCACTATTTGCTTTTTTTGTAAAACATTGCAAACTCTAACATTTTATTTAATAGCCCGAGAGGAAAAAGCCAATCTGACAATTTAAACTATAAATAACATAAAAAAGTTCGGCTCTTTTCCAGTTTCCCACCCCCTAGTAAAATTGCAAAACTGGTTCAAAAATTGTTCACACGGTTTTTTGCGTGTAATAAATGTTGTAAAAACTTGTTCACTTGTTCACGCTGACACGCTTTGACACTGTTTATAACAAGAAAAGTAATTTTAAATAGACTTCCCTGATTCAATTTCAGAAAAAATCAAAGGGGGGAACTGGAAAAGATCGAAATTCGCAAGTGGGAGGGGGGCAGCTGCTCTATTTTGAGAGGGTACTGTCTTTTTCTGTCGGCCGGTAGAAATAAGGAGCATGATGATAGAACATAGCTTTTTAAATAAACCTGAAACTGGAAGGTGCCAGGTTTTGGCCTTCATCATTTTGTACCCCTCACAACACCTTATCATTACTAGCACAGATCTCTTTTCCACTTCCTTGCATTTGAATTGACCTTCAAAATTATAAACTTATGCGCAGGATTAAAACAGCCCCGCAATTAAGAAAAAAGAAAACAAATCGAATATAATGGATTTTTGTGAACTGTAAAGTTGTAAATATAATCGATTCCCATATTATGTTCAGACAGCAAAATTGGACTAAAATAGGATTTAAATCCATTTTTTCCCACCAAAACAAAATGCATTACAATTCATTTGGAATCCAGGATCTTTTTCCTCCCCCCCCCACCTGCAAATTTTTACATGGAAGTTTGTTGACTACATTGTTCGATTGCTATGAAAATTTACATACAGACCTCGACAAACATTTTTGGTCTTCATACTTAACATCGTAAAACCACTCGTTACACTAATATATTGAAGGTCGTGTGAGGTGGGGGGGGGGGGGGAAGAGCCGGAATCCATTATAATGGATTTCATAATAAAAAGGAAATCACATTAAAATGGATTTTCTTCCCCTTTATTTTTGTTTCGCGTGTCGTGCAAAATTTAGCAAGAATTTCTGCGTTTATCAAGTGAGTTATGCGGAAACTTTGTAAAGCGATTGTACGGTCTAACCCATTTCTAAAGCTACACAAATTGCAAAAAGATTCCGTTTTTTTCTCCCCCCGCCCCTAATGTTTGACCTTTTGCTCCCCTTCAATCCCCTAACGTTTGCCCCTTAGCTCCCCTCCCCCCATTCAAACCCCCACCTAAACACATTGCCCCACCTGAACAACCCCCCTACACCATGAACCCCCACCCCTCCCCCACCTGAACCCCCCCCCCCCCCACTGAACCGACCCCTTCCCCACCTGAACCACCACCACCCCCCACCTGATCAACCCCCACCTGAACCCAACCTCCCACTGAACCCCCCCCCCCCCCCGGGGGGGGCTTGTTGTAAATGGGCAAACGCTAGGGGGGTAATGGAAGGCGGATTTTTCCACCTCCAACTTTACGTCCCCCCCCAATACTTTTAATAATTTAACAAAATTTTTAAAAGGAACAGAATTCAGATTTTGAGTAACATAAAAAGTAACAAAAAGAACAAAGTTAGGCAGAAAAAAAATAAATTGAACAACAAGTAACCAATGTAACCAACTTTAGTTTAAAACGTAGAAAAGGCTTTATGTGTGTTGAAACTCGTTATCTCAGTAAAGTGGAAAAGAATCGATTATAATTTAGTTTCATTGTCAGTGTCCACAAAAGTGAAAACAAAATCGATTATAATGGATGACAAATAGATTTTGCTGCTTCGAAAATTTGCTGCTTCGAAACAAATCCATTATTAATTGATTATAATGGATTTGTTTTCACTTTTGTGGACCCTGACAAGGCAATTAAATTATAATCTATTTTTATTTATGGAACTCCAATGCGGGAGAGTCTTCCGAATTACCACATCAGTTGTTTTTCTGTTTAATTGGGTATGTTAGCTTGGCTAACTATGCGTCTGTTTTATAATGTAGTCATTTCATATAGATTTTTTTGGGTCAGTTCTTAGCAAAAATGTTACTTAAAACCAAGACAACCCTTTAACCTTAGGAACTAATTTAATTCTTGTTTCGGTTTTTGCTTAAAATTGTTTATTTGATGAAATTTCTTTCTGTTCAGCCTCAACTTATTGCAAAAAATTTTGATATATCAAATTGTTCACAAAAAAATTCAGTTTAAGGATAGTTGTTTAAATGCTCATATTCCGCATTTTCTAAATAATCGTGAAACTTTTTGAATGAAAAAGAATTGACCGAATTATGGGGAAAAACGTTACCAATTTTTCAGTAAACTCTGAATCCAAACGTTATTTTAATTTTTTTCTGACCATCTTTATTGTCATAGGAATATTTCAGAGCCAATAGTGCTGAAGAGCTCACCAGAGGAAACGCATCCTGTTGTCACCCAGCCCAGATCTAAAATCAGACCACCTGCTGTCTTGCGCCGGTCTCCTTCTGCTTTCCTCATTACCCTCGCGAAAGCGGGGTACGTTCAGACATCGCGGAAGTCTCTTACCGGGAAATCACCCATCATAGTCGCAGAGCAAGACTCAGGGAGCGAATTATCGTCAACGATAGATCAGGACGTACAATAAGCTCTAGAAGAATTTGACGCCGAATACATTTAAAACTTATTGAACTCAATAAAACTCTATTTTCCAATTTCTTTTTTCAAAAAAAAATGTTTCCAAGTTTTTAAGTTATTTGGCAACTGTGTGTACAGTTTGTAGACTTAGTTTTAGCTAAAGGTAAGAACTTGAAATTTTTCCGTTGGGGAATGTTTTGAGTTGTTAATTTTGTTCAACCTATTGGCATTTAGCACTATTATGGTACCTGCTAAATATGTTTCATATCGATCATCGGTTGATCAATCACTTCTTAGTGTTGCTTTAGATTAGACATTCCTAATTCATTCTTAATCACGTTATTCTCCTAATTTCTTAGTTAGTGTACAGAATTGTACATATTCAGTGTTTATTATTAGAATAGTTTGTCAGTAATTTGAACATAAATTAGAACAGGTAAATGAATTGATTCGAAAACTGATACGGGCACTCCTCATTGATCAATCGTCTTGTACCATTTTCCGACGACAAGGAGTCTGCGTGGCTCCCAGATGATACCCTCAAAGTAATGCTGGTTAGTTCTCACCTCAGGAAAGGGTGAGGGGGACCCGAGTAGCTGTTTTATATGATCTCACGTAATATTTACTAATTAATTACTTTAATAGAGTGCGACAGTTTGTTTTTATTGATTGAACAAACTGTTAGCGGATTCCGCAGATTGTAAGTGAGATGTCCAGCAAAAACCAGCTTGAACAATGGCTAGCTAAAAGAACGGATGCGGAAATTACGAATAAAAAAGTTGATCATTGTCTGTGGAATCCACGAACAAATCTTAAATCATTACTTAACTAAATTCGTAGATATATTTTTTTGAAATTTAAACACTTGATTGAAAACGGCCATTTTGATTTTTAAACTTAGTTCGATCATTCACTTTTTAATGTTGCTTTAGATTAGACATTCGTAATTCATTCCTAATCATGTTATTCTCTTAATTTCATAGTTGGTGTACATAACTGTGCATATTCATAGTTTATTATTAGAGTGGTTAATTAGTGAATTTGAACATAAATTAGAACAAGTTTGAAATATAAAATCATGAACACAAACGTTAAGTGTTATAAAATCTAAACTGATTCGAAAATTGATAAAACGTTCGCCGGAACTAAACGAGTTTGTAGAATACCCAAAGTCCATTTAACTGCTTTCGTCAAACAACGCTTGAAGCAACTTTGTCTCCATAGTTAAAACGCAGTTATTCGGAGGGACAATGTCTCTCCTGGCTTTTAGGATGACTATTGTTTCACCTATGCTGGAAAGTACAACTTCTGCCATCCGCATGTTGGCCTCGTTTTTCTTTCAAACGTTCCTTTTTTGTAACGGGCACTACTCATTTGAAGCTTCGATCAATCTTCTAAGAGGTTACGCAATTTGCAATACGTTTTCACTGGGAACTCCTGGTTGGAGGCAGTACTGGTCGGCATTGATGTTGATGACGTTTTTGCTGTGGTAATCCACCAACACGCCATCTTTCTTGAAGCAATCAAATCTAGGAAGAAAGAAAGTCAAAATTACTGATTCAAAAATGAAATTTTATTAGTAAGATATGTTTTTCCAGTCAACAAAATTATGAAGTATCTCTTCCAGAGACGGCAAATATCACATCACACATGCCGACCCAGCTCTGGGTCAATGCAAGAATCTGCAACTCTTCTTAAACCTCATGTGGAAAGCTTTCAAGGTCGCTGGCGGTATGCCTCAGGCTTGTGGCTTTCTCAAGCGGCTGAAAATTTTCCTTTGATCCATCATTGAGCAGCTTCGCCGCGTGGTGAACCACGTTCTTCTGGTCATGGGTTTCCCATTTCTGCTTTGAGTAAAATTTTGTAACTTTACTTGACAGCCCATGGGAAGTCGTCATCTGCTGAACGAAGATCTGTGCGCTCTGCACCTGGCGAACATAACGTTGAGAATCTTGTCGAGATCGCACTGCCAACAGAACCTCTTCGTAGTTGTATCCGTTCTGGTGAACGTCTGATGCTTGCTTCTGCAGCTTTTCCAATTCGAGCTTAGGGTTGGTAGACAAGGCACAAGTCTCGCAACTTACGTGCAAGAGAGCGCTTCGGCTGTTCCAGATCTCTGATGCTAATGTATAAAAAAACGAAAATGATGTGATTCCACGTCGGTTTCTATTTTGGAAGAAAATGAAACTTAACATCGATTGATCTACCTGGCGTTTGAACTGATCAAGTTGGTACCAGGAATTGAGATTGAAGTTGGGTTAGGAAAGGGGATCGAAGTTGGGTTCAGGAATTAAGATCGAAGTTGGTGACAAGAATTGAGGGTTGTAGCTGACCAACGTAGCTGAGAATGAACTTGTTGGTGAACACCTAGTAATTAAAACATATAAATAAGAACGTTACCACATATAAACATGAATGTAAATGGATTCCGCAAAAAATGCGGATTCCACTTACGCTTTGCGGACTCCACTTATAGTTTGCGAATTCCACTTACAATTTGCGGATTCCACTTACGGTTGCGGATTCCGCAACAGCTCAATTTTAGGATACAAATTTCTTATCATTTATTTGTGGTTTTCACAAATTGTTCTCGATTCCGCAAATACAGTTGTGGATTCCGCAAATTCGCCTACTTTTTGAAGTCCAAAACAGCATAAAAGATCAAAGAGAGTAGCCATGATGCGGATTCCGCGACAAATCTGATTTTGGCCTGTTGCGGATTTTGTTTACAATACACAGAATGCACAGTTTGGCCTCAAATGCTCAAAAACTGAATTTTTTAAGACCAATTTTTAGCCATTCTAAACAAATTAAAACGGGGCCCACTTTATGCTTTTTTTGTAAAACATTGCAAACTCTAACATTTTTTTTAATAGCCCGAGAGGAAAAAGCCAATCTGACAATTTAAACTATAAATAACATAAAAAAGTTCGGCTCTTTTCCAGTTTCCCACCCCCTAGTAAAATTGCAAAACTGGTTCAAAAATTGTTCACACGGTTTTTTGCGTGTAATAAATGTTGTAAAAACTTGTTCACTTGTTCACGCTGACACGCTTTGACACTGTTTATAACAAGAAAAGTAATTTTAAATAGACTTCCCTGATTCAATTTCAGAAAAAATCAAAGGGGGGAACTGGAAAAGATCGAAATTCGCAAGTGGGAGGGGGGCAGCTGCTCTATTTTGAGAGGGTACTGTCTTTTTCTGTCGGCCGGTAGAAATAAGGAGCATGATGATAGAACATAGTTTTTTAAATAAACCTGAAACTGGAAGGTGCCAGGTTTTGGCCTTCATCATTTAGTACCCCTCACAACACCTTATCATTACTTGCACAGATCTCTTTTCCACTTCCTTGCAATTGAATTGACCTTCAAAATTATAAACTTGTTCGCAGAATTAAAACAGCCCGCAATTAAGAAAAAAAGAAAACAAATCGAATATAATGGATTTTTGTGAACTGTAAAGTTGTAAATATAATCGATTCCCATATTACGTTCAGACAGCAAAATTGGACTAAAATAGGATTTAAATCCATTTTTTCCCACCAAAACAAAATGCATTACAATTCATTTGGAATCCAGGATCTTTTTCCTTCCCCCCCCCCCCACATGCAAATTTTTACATGGAAGTTTGTTGACTACATTGTTCGATTGCTATGAAAATTTACATACAGACTACGACAAACATTTTTGGTCTTCATACTTAACATCGTAAAACCACTCGTTACACCAATATATTGAAGGTCGTGTGAGGTGGGGGGGGGGGGGGGGTGGGAAGGAAAAAGAGCCGGAATCCATTATAATGGATTTCATAATAAAAAGGAAATCACATTAAAATGGATTTTCTTCCCCTTTATTTTTGTTTCGCGTGTCGTGCAAAAATTTGCAAGAATTTCTGCGTTTATCAAGTGAGTTATGCGGAAACTTTGTAAAGCGATTGTACGGTCTAACCCATTTCTAAAGCTACACAAATTGCAAAAAGATTCCGTTTCGTTCTCCCCCCGCCCCTAATGTTTGACCTTTTGCTCCCCTTCAATCCCCTAACGTTTGCCCCTTAGCTCCCCTCCCCCCATTCAAAACCCCACCTAAACACATTGCCCCACCTGAACAACCCCCCTACACCATGAACCCCCTCCCCCACCTGAACCCCCCCCCCCCCCCACTGAACCGACCCCTTCCCCACCTGAACCACCACCACCCCCCACCTGATCAATCCCCACCTGAACCCAACCTCCCACTGAACCCCCCCCCCCCGGGGGGGGATTGTTGTAAATGGGCAAACGCTAGGGGGGTAATGGAAGGCGGATTTTTCCACCTCCAACTTTACGTCCCCCCCCCCCCCCCCAATACGTTTAATAATTTAACAAAATTTTTAAAAGGAACAGAATTCAGATTTTGAGTAACATAAAAAGTAACAAAAAGAACAAAGTTAGGCAGAAAAAAAATAAATTGAACAACAAGTAACCAATGTAACCAACTTTAGTTTAAAACGTAGAAAAGGCTTTATGTGTGTTGAAACTCGTTATCTCAGTAAAGTGGAAAAGAATCGATTATAATTTAGTTTCATTGTCAGTGTCCACAAAAGTGAAAACAAAATCGATTATAATGGATGACAAATAGATTTTGCTGCTTCAAAAGTTTGCTGCTTTGAAACAAATCCATTATTAATTGATTATAATGGATTTGTTTTCACTTTTGTGGACCCTGACAAGGCAATTAAATTATAATCTATTTTTATTTATGGAACTCCAATGCGGGAGAGTCTTCCGAAATACCACATCAGTTGTTTTTCTGTTTAATTGGGTATGTTAGCGCGGCTAACTATGCGTCTGTTGTATAATGTAGTCATTTCATATAGATTTTTTTTGGGTCAGTTCTTAGCAAAAATGTTACTTAAAACCAAGACAACCCTTTAACCTTAGGAACTAATTTAATTCTTGTTTCGGTTTTTGCTTAAAATTGTTTATTTGATGAAATTTCTTTCTGTTCAGCCTCAACTTATTGCAAAAAATTTTGATACATCAAATTGTTCAAAAAAAAATTCAGTTTGAAGATAGTTGTTTAAATGCTCATATTCCGCATTTTCTAAATAATCGTGAAAGCTTGTGAATGAAAAAGAATTGACCGAATTATGGGGAAAAACGTTACCAATTTTTCTGTAAACTCTGAATCCAAACGTTATTTTAATTTTTTTCTGACCATCTTTATTGTCATAGGAATATTTTGGTGCCGCGACTCGGGAGAAGTCGGGGAAAAAGCCATTTTAGTCGGTAAAAAAGGGGGTGGTTATTGAGAAAAATTAAGGTTTTTCCGAAGAAAAGTTGATAAAGTAAGTTATAACGCTAACTTGGAGTTACGTTATTCTTTGCAACCCGCATCAAACTTTCATGGTGTTGTAACGATGTTCGGTCGGTCACCCCAGACCCTCAACCATTTATTCGTTTAGTAAAAGCGGTTTTACAATGAAAAAATGTTATTCGGATACGCTTTGATTACGTTTTGCCGTTTGTATTTTCTGCAGTTTTTTTCTGAATTGTGGACGCCTGGAAGAGCTTTTATTCCCAAACACTGGAAGAGAGCAAAAGAGCTACTGAGTTTTCTTTGTGTTTTCTCAACGACGAGGTCATATTACTCGAATTTGAGACCCCTAAAATTGGAAGCTTGATCATCAAAACCGAATTCTTCCATGTCACTCAAGGTCTTATCCCAGTGGTAGCTGAACGTTAATCAGAAGGAAGAAAACATCAGTTGCCGCATTCTGAAGACATACTACGACATCGAAGATCAAAACTTCTGAGGCAAAAACTAAGAAAAACAGCAAAAAATTGTAAGAACGTTAAATTTTAATCTCATTTTTTTGCAGTAAATTCTTCTACGATAAATTTTAAATAAAAACCGAT